CAACAATAATCTTCTTCAACAATTACGGCTCATCATCGTAATTGCACCGCAGGGTAGGTGCACCTCCCTTTTTCTGCGCGACAAAGTACTAACGAGAGTATTTTGTCTATCATGACTGTTTTTGTATTCGTGCCGAGCGTTTTCTCCCCTCCTCTCTCTCCCTCTCCCCCCCCCCCCCCCCCCCCCCTCTCTCCCTCTCTCTCCCTCTCTCTCTCCCTCTCTCTCTCCCTCTCTCTCTCCCTCTCTCTCCCTCTCTCTCTCTCCCTCTCTCTCCCTCTCTCTCCCTCTCTCTCCCTCTCTCTCCCTCTCTCTCCCTCTCTCTCCCTCTCTCTCCCTCTCTCTCCCTCTCTCTCCCTCTCTCCCTCTCTCCCTGTAATATTGTTAATCATTGTAAATCCTATTCGCGAGCGTTAGTCTTTCGGCCTGGCAAAGACTGTAATTTATTAAAATTAAACGGTTTTAATTATATTCGCCGCATTACATCATTTCGTTTCCTATTAGCTTAACAGATCTATTACGGATTAAATTTTAAACCTATTTCATCTAGGGTTTAGTTGGAACAAGCATTAGGTCATTCACACCTAAGATAGATCGAGTGTTACAAGTCAGGTGACTTAAGGTGAGTTCAACTCTGTTAGAAAAAAGACATTAGAACGAAAGTATCAAACGTAAAGGTGAATACACGTATACTCGTAAGTGTTTAACGGAGCGGTGGTCAGCTATGCATCGTGGGAGTTTGTTCTTTAATAAACCCATTTTATACCAGCTAATCCACCCCGTTACAACATATTTAAATATTTAATAATTCCCTATTGATTTTCAGCAAATAATTGGAAACAATTTAATACTGTGTATATTGGTCTAAAGTTGATTTTAATATAACTGATAATTATACACAAGTCTCAAGGACTCACGATAGTGTTGTCAATTTGAAATCAGGCGAATTTGCTAAAATCATAGAAAGTACCGACAACGATACCACAAATTATCGTTATTTACATATTCAAAATTTTCAATTACTTACGATACTTTATTTTCTTTTTATTTTATATACAGGGTGTCCCATTTTAAAGGAACCACCCCGAAATTTTCGACGGTTGGCGTTGTACAAAAAAATTGTTCAGACATCAGTTGTTTGGGACAATAGGGACAAGCTTTCTGTGAAATCCGATTTGACCTTGAGATTTATTCATGCTTCTTATGATGTATCTTAGGTGTGAGCGACTTTACGCCTAATCCGCTTAATCCCCTAGTTGTAATCGGATTAAAACCTAAGATACAAATCGCTTAAGCTAATGAAAAATTAAATGACGTAATCGACGAATGAAATTGACTAACGTTAATTAGTAAAAATAACTAAAGTCTTTTATGATCCGAAAGACTAACGCACGCGAATAGGATTTTACAATGAATTATTATTCAGTGAGAGAGAGAGAGAGAGAATATTCGAAATTTACCGCGAAACTAACGCTCGGCGCGAATACAAAAAATCGCTATCACGGTTGACAAAATACCAAATGTATTTTGTCACGCAATAATAACAGGAGGTGCACCTACCCTGCGATGCAATTACGGTGATCAGCCGTAATTGTTGATGAGATAAATCAACTGCCGTTGCTCCTCCTGTTTATCAGCTGCGCTGCCTCGCTCTGCCTCTAACCTGCTGCTACTATTCTACTGTTGCTTGCTGCAATAGCTCTGTTGCACTTACGCACGAAACTCGTCCCAAAAAACTTTAATATCGGCGAAATACAGTGCAAAAATAAATTCGGCGGTAATGTCGCGTAAACAGCTGAGGCGTAACTGCTTAATTTAAATGCTCGCGCGCCCTCTCTCTATCTTAATTGTTCGAACTAACGCGCGAGTTACAGAATCACGAACGAATCGATTAATTGAATCGACTACCATTGCACCTCCAAGGTCAGAAGCAAAATTAAAGGAATATGTTCCCCTCAGTTAAGCAACCTTGGTCAAAAATTATTTTCGCTTAATTCCCTTTTCTGAGCATTCAGGTAGAGGAAATAAAAAAGGTAAAATTGACCTTTAATGACCTTATGGATTTTTCTCTCTCACGAGTGTTTGCATATATAATTTCGTATCATTACAATGGCATACATGATGTTTTCGAGAATAGATCACCATCCCCAAATCAGGCCCAGAAAACAGATAAAATAAAAAAAATTTTTCAATAAAGTCGAATTTGCTCAGTTCAACTGTGTTGGCCAAACAATATGCTCGTATTACTTTTTCTAACAAAAAAATATTAAAATGTTTTTTTACGCAAACTTTAAACGATAATATCTTGCCGAAGTATCAATATTTGTTCAATCCTAAGATTTTGAAAAATTGCTCACTATTACAAGAAATTTGCCCGATTATAATATATTAAAAAAGTACAGTATTTTTTTTAAAGAAATTTAAATAATACATATACACTAATCAGCAGCCGCAGCCAATTCTGTAAGTTAACGCTTGCGTAAGACAACTGTTTGAATTGGTACTTTCTTCGGCAATACATATACCAAAATTGGAATGATACAGACAAGATTAACATGGCCCCTGCGCAAGAATGACAAGCAAAATCGTGAAGCGTTCCACATTTTTCATCTACACAATCTAAACCATGGTTCCACAAAACTTACTTTCATAGAAAACATATCACCACTATTAATAGACTTAGAAGCAACCGCTATTCTCTTGCAGCCAATTTATACAGAAAGAATTTTATAAATTCCGTCTCATGTCAATATGGATCTCCAGTACAAGATATTGACCATATTGTATGGTCTTGCCCTACGTACACATCTCAGAGAGAAACACTAATAAAAAATTTAAACAAATATACACAAAAAAGTAAAACTTCACCAGTAACTACAGCCATTAATATATTAAAACTCCCCACTCATCCCCCATGTCTCTTCTTAACCGAATTTCTTAATAAATGCAAACTCTCAATTTAAAATAAACCTCAAAATACTAAACAAATATCTCCTTCCAACCCTCACTCTTTTATATAATCCTACACTGCTCACAAATCTCTAACCAATAAAAATAAATATATCAACCGTAACTATAAACCACTATTATTATTTAAATTTCAAACTTTTAATTCGCTCTGGTCAACGCATGTGTTTTGGCATACCGGAGCCCGGTGATGAGAATCCGATGACTCTACAAAAAATTTCATTTTTACGAAATCGTATCACATCTATATATCGTTTATACAGCTATGACCGAGATGCTATGGAAATGCCGGCTGTGAATCTTGATCATAGTTATATAAACAATATTGATATGATACAACTTCATGAAAATAAAATTTTTTGTAGTGTCATCGGATTCTCATCATTGCAGGAGTATCAACTAAGAGACCCACCGCCATCGAGTAAACTTAAACTAAAACTAAACTAAAACTGTTTGAATTGCTCACGATACCAATTACATTATTAAAATTTCTTTATAAAAATTAATGTACTTTTCAAATATATTATAACAGGACAAATTTCTTGTAATAGTGAGCAATTTTTCAAAATCTTAAGATTAACCAAATATTGATATTTCGGCAAGATATTATCGTTTAAAGTTTGCGTAAAAAAACATTTTAATATTTTTTTGTTGGAAAATGTAATACGAACATATTTTTTGGTCAATATAGCTGAGCCGAGCAAATTCGACTCTATCGAAAATTTTTTTTATTTTGTCTATTTTCCGAGATTGATGTGAATGAATCATTATAGTAACCTAAACACCTGGTGTAATTAATTTAAGTTTCTAACACTACATGCAATTAACTGGTTCTTAAATAAAAAGTTAAGGGTCATAGAGACTTGCTCGCGCTTTCAGCTGGCAACCTGCATCAATTACATCCATGTAATATCAACGAGAAGACAGTCAAACTCGTAACGGAAAAGAATTAACGATTGGATATTAAATAAATAATATACCGCTGTTGAAAATTCTGTAGTAATATGGCAAACAATTAATAATAGTTATGTTATGTGTACGAATAAATAATTTATTTCTCTACTTCAAAATATAAGCTAGATGAGTTACAGTGACTTATTTCATTGTATTTAAATTTTTGAGATAAGCTTATAGAGACGAATAATTGAAATAGACTTTTTTTAAGGAAATTATTAATGTTTGAAAATATAAAAACTAGTTAATTCAATATTTGAAATGAAAATTCACTTATATAATAAGAAAAGAATAAATATAATTCATATTTAATTATTTGAACTTCAGGTAAATTCAATAAATGTGAATAGTTATTGCTAAGCTATAAGAAAAAAATTCTTGGTGTTTCACCTATGTATTCATTTTTATCAAAATGTGGAGAACCTTTTCATGACTCTTAATTTTAATTTTCCTTTTTGGATTTGCGATGTATATAACCTGTATATAAATAAGGTTTTAAAAATATATCCAAATCAAAATCATTGAACTCGATAAAAAAACTGCAGGCTATCCTTTTAATATTTGGAATCTTAGCATATAAAAATAATTTTCTACAAAAAGTATATATTCATTTTTGTAAAATGAATTTTTAAATTATAAGCCATTATAAACTTTGGAAATAAAATTTTTGTTTTTTTCAATATAACTGTTAATTGTATTAAAAGTATATATGTATAAACCACACAATTAAAAATATATACATTGTACACATCATCACACTATAAATATTACAGTCTTGAAGTGATTAAGAAAAGATATATTACATATCGATTTAATAAATATAAATATTTTATTGTCTGATGTATTATATTTCTGATATTTCTATTTATTTATCCAAGAAGTAGCCATTTCTATCTCATATACAATATAAAGTACTAATTTTAACTGTTCATTATACTGAAGTAAACAGAATTTGATATATTTTGAATGTCACAAAAATTTATAAGTTTTCAAGAGTGCATATCTTGATAAAAACATAGCATTTTCTAATTTTAATTCAAAAAGATCTTTATATTATTAAAAAATAAGACAAAATATATTACCTTATCAAAATTTGGTAGACCTTTTATTCTCGCTCTATAATATCCAGCTTTAATCAGAATTTCTATTATTTCTTCAAATTTAACTTTTTGCTCCTCATCTTCACGTACTTCAACCTTAATTAAATAAATTATATTATCTACTTTTTGGCAAAATTATATGTATGTATATGTTAGAATTACCTCTATTAAATCTTTTTTGTTTTTGGATTTACCTTTTGCTTCTTGAAACATTTTTTATAATGTTTAATGACTTACTGTTTAATGGCTATAATGATATTAACAAAATAATTATTCTAAATATTCAGCTACTGATTCTAATAATACTATTTAATTAATTTTATTTACTATATTTATGTACTCAACTAGGACTTGCATGTATTTCCTAAAAAATACTTCAATAAAAAAAATAGCTCTATTTGTATACTCAACTCAAAGATACAAAAAAGACGCCATTTGAATAATGAATTATTATTAAAACCATGCAATATTTAGGTTTCTGAAATGACTTGTATTTATATTTCACTTATATTTCCATTATTATTTATACAATCCATACAGATAATAATATATTATAACTCTTTATTTTTTTTTAACAAATGTTAAAAACAAGTATTTAATACGTAATTATGCATCTATCCATTTTTGCATCTATCCATTTGTATATTATATATAAAACGAATTGTTTTTATACAAAAATGAATAAGAGTGTTTATATTTGACACTAAGGGTGTTCACAGAACGATTTTGACACTTAAAAAATGACATGAATTCTGACATATGGAATGTACGTAATACGTTGTTTTTCAGCTAAAAAATACTCGAAATGTTTAAATTAGCGTCTTATAAACACAATAGTAGCAATAGAATACATATAACAACTTTCCGTAAAATGTTAGTCTTTAAATCATATATATGACACGAATAAAGCGGTTATCCATGTCATTCTGTGTAATTTGAAATCTGCGCTCACACAAAAATTATTAAGATATTTTATTATCATAATTGATTCTTAAGATTGCTACTGAGATGATTATTTAAAAATTTCGAGGGTTTTTCAAGATAAAATATCCTTTTATGTATATTTATCATGTCAATTAATGTCATTTTTATTGTGTCAGATTCCTTCTGTAAACAGCCTAAGGCTGTTTACAGAACCCTCGAAATGTCTGAAAATATTAAAATATGTTCAATAGCATTTACTGGAATTGCAGCTACATTGCTTCCTGTTGGATTGGAGCAAATGATTGTGAACGCTAAATTTATAAATATTAAACTAGTGAAAGTATGATTTATTACGGTCTCTATTAAACAAAGGTACAAAGTAAAGTTATATTATTAAAAAGGAGCTCTATATCCACTGGTAGTTGCTGCTGGAGTGTCGCGCTAGTTTGAGCGGCAGTGCAGCAAAAGGAAAGGTGGCGTGGTGGGCGCCCGCGCACATGCGCACAGTACTTTCAACACTCCCTCCACTGTACGCATATACGCGTAAGCACAAGTAGCTCACTCAGATTTATTGGTTTCCGCGTCTGCAAATAAACAGAGACATTCTCGAACATATTCAGTTATTAAATATATTATCTCTAAGAGCTCTAAAAGAATCGAAAGGAAGAGGTTTTGTAAATATATCCGCTAAATTATCTTTAGATGGTACCCAAGCCAATTTAACTTTTCCTTCCGTTACGCACTGTTTAATGTAATCTCCATGTACTTTAGACAATTTATTTTTAGTTCCTGTTTTCTCTCTATTCTCTAAGTTAATAATTATTTCTTTAATCGAATCATCAAAGTTCTTTAGTTTATGGTTTCCTTCTTTTTGTGTACAGCTAATTGAGGACTTGTTATCGCATCTTATAATAATAGGGTACATAGTTTTTCCTAACATGTCTCTAAGAGCCTTATCTAATGAAATCATTTCTTGACATGCTTCGCTCATTGCGTAATATTCAGCGTGACAGGTCGAGAGATTGATTACACTTTGTTTGTGGCTTCTCCACATAACGGAATCTCCGAATAGTCGGGCAACCATTCCACTTGTCGAAGATGAATCAGCATTGTCTCTGAAACTTGCATCTGTAAATACTTCTAAGTTTTCAGCGATTCCTCTATATGTTAGTCCTAGATCAGAACTTCCTCTAAGATACCTCAAGATTCTCTTTACATCAATCCAGTCTTCTATAGAGGGATTAGATTGTTTTCTGGCTAATAAGTTTACAGCAAATGCTATGTCTGGTCTTGTGACATTTGCAAGATACATTAAGCTACCTATAGCTTCTCTATAAGGAAATTCCGATTTTCCAAGTTTTTCAGTTTTCTCTATATTTTTATCGTTTCTAGCTTTGACTTGTCTAGTTATCATAGGTGTCTTTTGTGGTTTACTTTCGTTCATATTAAATCTCTCTAATACCTTTTCTGCATATTTGCTTTGGCTCAGCATGATTTCTTTAGCCTTTCTATCTCTAGTAATTTGAATACTTAAGTATTCTCTAGGTTCTCCTAAATCTTTCATTTTAAACACTGAACTTAGGTGGGTTTTAATTTCATTTATTTTGACTAGATCGTTACCTGCCAATAATATATCGTCTACGTATAAAATCAATAATACCATGTTGCCATTTTTCCTGTAGGTAAACAGACAGGGTTCATTTATATCCTTTTGTAAGCCTAATTTTTCTACCTCTGCTGAAAACCTTTGATTCCATTTCTTGGGACTTATTTTTAAACCGTATATTGCTCTATGCAGTTTACAGACTTTAGTTGCTTTCGATTGTTCGTCTATTTTTACTCCATCAGGGATTTCCATATATATTTCTTCATCTAATTCACCGTTTAGAAAAGCGGTTTTCACATCTAATTGGTAAACTTCGAGGTCCAATTTGTTAATAACAGCAAACACGGCTCGAATTATAGCTAGTCTCGATACAGGTGCATAAGTTTCTCTAAGTTCATATTCATTAGTGTCTTTAAATCCTCTCACTACTAGTCTAGCTTTGAAAGTTGTTTTTCCATCCGAATCTACTTTTCTCTTCAGTACCCATCTGCTATCGATAATGTTAGCTCTATTTCCTTTTAAAATTACCGTAGGTCTGTACACTATACTCCAGACATTGTTTTCTCGCATGGACTCTAGTTCATCGTTTATTGCCTTTGACCAATTCAATTTATCCTCAGTTTCCATTGCCTCTCTATAATTCGTCGGATCTGCGTTCAGTGTTGCCATCAAACAGAAGCCTTTTTCGTCTTCTCCTAATACTTCAAGTTCATTACATTGTGCTAAGAACGCAAAACTATTATCTACCAGGTTAGCCTTTCCTTCAGCCATAGCTTTGTAATCTCGTTTTACTTTACTACCTCTCTTAGGCTGTACTCTAGTCTGACTTTCTGGTTCGATATTCGTTTCAGATTTTCTTTTATTACTCTTGGTTTTTTCTAGATTTTTAAACGTTGGTTCTAAACTACTTGAGGAACTTGATTTTTCTGAATTATAAGTATCGAATACATCAATGGTTTTCTCCGGTGTTCCAATATCACATTCATCAGAATTAGACTTCAAATTTGAGCTATATTCTCTAGTGATTTCGTCATTTTTATCTATGTTTTTGTAGGTTAGCTTTTCTCTAAACTTTACGTGTTTGGTTAGAATTAGTTTTCCGGATTGTGGATGCCATAAGACATATCCATTACTTGTTTGTCCTATTAGAATTCCTTTAATTGCCCTTTCTGATAACTTGGTTTCAGATATCGGTTTCCTTGCATAGGCTATGCAACCAAACCGTCTGATTTTCTCTAAGTGACTTTTCTTATCAGGGGATATCATATTCAACGAGCTTTTATAATTTATGGACGAGTTAGGGGATCTATTATAAACATCTACAGCTACTTCTAATGCTAGGTTCCACAATGACTTTGGTAAACCAGAATCTATCATCAAAGACCTCAATTTTTCTAATATGGTTCTGTTGAATCGTTCAGCAGTGCCATTGTGGGGAGGTGTATACGGATTAGAGAAGTTTGACTCTAATTTCTCTTGTTTCATAACTTCTTGAAACTTACCTCCAGTGAACTCTCTAGCATTGTCAGCTCTTATATAGAAAGCTCTAAGATTCTTTCCGACTAGATTTCTCATTGTATTTAAATAGTTTTCTAAGCAATCTCCTGCTTCGGACTTACTAATTATTGCGTATGTTTTGGCAAATTTCGAATAATCATCTATGAAAACTATAACATATCTTTTACGACCCGGATGTGTGATTGTTTTAAATGGACCTATTATGTCAGTGTGAGTTAATTGAAGAGGATGATCAGCTCTAGTTCTTATTTCTTTAAAAGGCTGTTTACTCATTTTGGACATGACACAAGTTTCACAATTTTTAATATTCTCATTGAATTTTACATTCACTAGCTCTTTACTTACCTTTTGTAATTTCAATAGATAGTCATAAGAAGGATGTCCTAATCTAACATGCCATAACATCCCTTCATCTAACTCTTCTGAGTACCTTTTCTCTAGTTCGAATGATGTAAACAAATCGTCCATCAGTTTATCGTTTTTCAGATCATCTAATGTATAATTTTCAAAGTCTCTATATTGGCTGAATTTCGGTATTAATTCACTCAACTCTGTCTTCCTCCCAATTTCTGAATTCACGATTTCTTTATCCATTTCTATTTCTACGTTTGACTGTTGATTGGGGAGATCCTCTAGAGTAACCATTCGTGCTCTGCAGACGTATTTATTGTACGTTTGATTATCAGAATTCTCAGTTTTATTTGCAATTTCTAGTTCAATCAGCCAATTTGGTTTTTCATAATATCCGGTCAAGAATATCGATCCATCGTTTTTATCAAAGATTTTCAAGATTATGTCATCTAGATAAATACCGAAACCGGCATCAGCGAATTTTCTAAGCGACATTAAGTTTTCAGATATGTTCGGGGCAGATACAACGTTTGTTAGTCTAATAATGTGGTCTTTGTTATTTAAATCTTTTATATATAGATTGCCTCTACCGTCTATTTCTATGTCAGCCGACCTATTTTTATTTGCGCTTCTAATGTATGTTCCTGAGCTCCTTTTAAGATTTTGCAGGACAAACGCTTTGTTTATAATATGCTCTGTTGCACCAGAGTCCAGCAAAAAGGTTATTTTATTACATTGATTATTGGTTGTGCTCTTACCTTCAACTTGAGCGACTGCTGCATTTGCCAATTTCTTTTTGTTGCTGTCCCCGCTGGGATAATAATATCTGTTCGCTCCTCGCTTTCCTACTCTACCTCTATTTTGCCCTCTAAAGTTATTATTCTTGCCTCTACCTCTTTTATAATTTTCTCTATTAGGGTTACCTCTAGAGCCTCTATTTAACCCTCTTCCTTTCGATCCTCTATTGTTAATATTCTTATCTCTAACATCATACCCATTTCCTCTGGATCCGCTCGACTGGTTTTGACGAGGGCAGGTTCTCCCCGTGTGCGGAACATAGTCCCTGCAAACGTAGCAAAACCACAGTCCGAACTGGACCAGTGGGCAAGTGTCTGAGATGTGATCAACGTTGTGTTTATCACATCTGTAACACTTGTTTGTCCCACCGGATCCAGCTTCGACCGACCCGGTTCTCGCCACGCTTGCAGAGACTGTAGAAGCTCCTGCTCCTCCGGACCCTCTGATGTCAGCCTCTAACTGTCGAACAAAATTTTTCATTTCCTCTAATGTCATTCCTCTATTTTGGCTATTTTTAGTCATAATCTCCATC